AGCATTCAATACAATCATGTTACAATGTGTTCTCATAAGAATGAGTGAATGGATAAAAAAAATAAAAAACTCCAATCCTGGAAAACAACCATATTATAAACCTTTCTGATGTTTATTCTAGTGTCTCATAAGCTTGTTTTATAAAAGTAATCGATTAGCATGTCTGATAGAGAGGTCTAATATCGCAGCATAAAACTTAAAGATAAATTGAAAGTATTTTCAACTTTTCTAGTCAACTATACACAACACATTACAGAAATACCATAAAATTAGTGAAGTCATTGTCTTCACAGTCTTTGTACAGGACCTATCAAGGCAAGACAGACTCGTGGAAGTTATGTAAAACCTCATTTGGAAATAGAACTGAGGTTCTATTTCTTGTTCAGAGGTTTTAGCTATGAAWGTCATACCTAAAAGGACCAATTTCACTGAATGAAGGAGGTATGTGTTTGTTTGCTCCAATTCAAGTACCACATACACAAAGGCTTAATATGACTTTTGTCATGTAACAYTTCAGATCTTCAATGAAAACACACAGTCTTTTTCCATAAAAGGTCATTGCTAATAGCAGGGGAAACATAAAATTAGTCATGCATGGTCCTTAGTATGTGAAATTAGCTTCCACATATCATGCATATATTACAATCAACCTCTTCAGACTTTAAAAGAGCAATTTCCACAAAATGCTCTAAAGCAGTTAAGGGGCATATGGCATTTTCATGCTGCCAAACATATTTGTGGTGGGAGAGAGTAACAGAGTATCCTTTTGATACAGAATAATCAAACAGACATCTCAAGGGAAGGGCTGGGAAGAGAGGAAGATGAGGCCCTGTTCTGAAACCAGCAGACCTTCCAGCCCAGTGAATATATGCAGACATACTTTTGTATGCAGGATGCTTTTGTACTAACAGGGATCTCATGTAACTGTGTGTTAGTCCATTTTAGTCACAGATACTACAGACAAGAGAACAGTCACATAATTCAGCGGAGCCCAAGCTTCCAGTATCTTGAGAGGTCACAAGTCCCATAGCATCTCCAGGTTAAAAAAAATAAAAGTTTTGGCAGGAATGCTGGTGCCAAATGACAATTTGATTAATAGTTATCTGATGATGCTTTGACAGGACTTCAAAGTACAATCACAACACACATAAGACCTACCCGTTTCTTTGGGAAGGGTGCAATACCACCAGAGCAGACCTTAACAGTAGGAAGCAGTAATATACTTCATTATCTAATTCTAACAGGAGTAAGGAAAAGGTGTTAGTCACAATACTGCTCCAGGGAAATGTAACTAGAAGAAACACACCCTATGTCAAAAATTGATACACAGAGAAGTCTGGTAAACTATGTTGCCCATGAATTACAACTGATAACAGTATTATGTGTTACACACCCATATACGTACACAAATATATATATTTGGTAGCAGTATGAATCCTTTCTTATTTAAAGAAAAAAAGGAGAATAAAAATAAAAAAGAAAACCTAACATTTCTGAAGTTGTAGAAAAAAATAGCTTGCCTGTTACTTGTGAATTATGAAAACTCCTTTGTCTACAGGACAACTAGGGCAACAGATGTTGTGATAATTTTCAACTGCAGACTTTCATTAGGAGGCAGGGAGCAGTCAGATCATCAACAGTAGGTTAGGCTAATAATCAAGGTTAAACGGCTTGGAATGCCTGTGGGATGCATGAAGAAATACGCTTAGCTAGTAGGAATAACAGGCGTTTATGAGATTCGTCATATAAAGCAGGGCCAAGCTCACAGCATTCTTAGCTCATGAAAACCGTAATTATAAATCAAATGAGTCACATCATTGACATAAACTTTCCTCCCAGAAAGACGTTGCTACTTAGATTATACTAAGACAAAAGGAATTCCTGTCCCCAAAGCTAATTTTCTCTCCTCTATTCTTTCTCTTCAGAGTCTTCCTAGCTCATAAGCTATGAAAATAAGAAAAATATTGGGAAACATATGGCAAATGCCATAAACTTAGCAGGGACCCCTCAAAGAAGCTATATGCTGCCTTGAGCACATGTATAGACCTTCAAAGAGTCACCCATTAAAGCAGACAAGACAAGAAAAAAGCAAGACAACAACAAAACCTCACAAGTTCATCACGAGCCAGCATCATTATTCCAACTTGAATAGAAGAATGAGGCTATCCACCCTGAACAAATTTTGGACTGACACAAAAAGCAGCTGCCTCGTATCTAAGTGATGCGTCATCATTTCAATGTCACTCGTTTTCCATAATGACATTGGCTCTTCCTCAAATAATGCCTGATAAAGCATTTATCTTTATATCCAACCAACATCAGCTTATATAAAACTTCAAATGCTTCTCTTTGTGGCCAGGAATTGCAGTAACAGCTATAAACATATATGAGCAAAAAAAGTGACCAACAAGACTGGGCCACAAGTGATGAAAAACAGGTCGCTACCAATACAAGAATAGGAGGGTTTGCAAATAAGAATT